TGACAGGTTTGCGTAACAGAACTGCAGGAATTCACCCTCAAAGTTATGAAGGTTGCATAGAGCAAAAAGAAGGGGAGAGGGAGAGATCTGCCAAGAGCTGCTTCTAGCATTGGAAGCTGAAGGAGGCACTCTGCAGGATGAAAAAGAATTTGTGAGGAAGACACAAGGATTTGCAGTAGAATCTGCTCAACTGCAACACAGCAGTACAAGAGATGGGTTACAAAACAATTATGCTACTTATATTTTGTGTTCCTGAATCTCTGAAAAACTGCAGCTCTACAAACAAAACCACCCTTTGTGTCTCAGGAATGGATAACTTCAGCAAGGGAGGGTCACATCAATGAGCCTAACAGGTATTGAAAGCAATGAGGCACACCACTGTGCCGATGCCAGCCGCACCAAACCGCCTGATCTGGCACTACATCACACCAGGACAAGGAAGCACCATGCACGGAGCCTGCGCAGCACACACTACTGCTGCCTTCAGTCCTCTTGGACAGAGGACCTATTGACTGCAATCACAGTCCCTCTGTTATCTCTGGCAAACAAAGAATAACAGCTATAATCCTATATCCTCTTGGAGAGCTAAACTACAAGGTTCCATCCTGCCTCAAGAGTACATGAAGGTAATTTTGCCACCTGTACTGCTGTGGCCTGCCCCGTGCAGTCCTATACACTCATCTTCAGCCAGCTGAGAGGCTGGATGCTAGAATGAAGACCAGGTATGAACAGAAGAGCCCAATATAGCCACTCAGCTGAACAAGCAGTTGACCAGTGTCAACACTACTAATGCTGAAGCACCAAGGCTTTGCACCTTGCATACCTCATACTCTTCTGTACATCAGAAAATGTGGAGATTAATGGCACAGACCCAGAGCATCTTCATGCAGTGAATCGCCTTATTGCCTACTGCTTTAACTTTTTATACCATTCTAACAACAGTTATTTTTAGCCTATTGCTCTAGCTTTTATACCATTCTATTTGTAGCCTATCATGTTTAGTTCCTGACTTACAGTTTGTTTTTTAACACTGCTCGCCATCTCACAATCAGTCCCAGAATAGCCAGTCTCTGATCTTTATGCTCTCTCCTCCTCAGCCAGCTGGGTTGCTCTGCTGGATTGTACTTTGTTTCCTGTTTAACTCTTTCTTCTCCAGCCAAGCAGTTACTTCTCTTTGGCAATAATCAAATAGTTTCCATTGTCTCCCACAAGGAAACACAGCAGAGCAGTTTGTCCACATGGATTCACTAAGGTTAGATACCTAGATGCCCATTGGCAAGGTTCCTCTCCTACTGAAGTAGGAGAATGAAGCAACTAATTTCTACTAAAAGTATAGGTAGTAAGCCCAAAAAACCACCTTGGCCAGCATGAAGAACAAAGGGAAAAGCAATTTGGAGTAGTGGTCTACATTGCTGGGGTTCTGGATAGTGAAATAACTAATAATCCTGTGCATTTTGTTTCTCAAGACACGTTTGATTTTCTCATGAGTTTTCATTGTCAAGTTACTGCAATTAACATTATGACCAGAATTCTCAATGCTTGTAAAGCTGGTTTTCAGTCTGTAGCTCGTGAGGATGTTAGCAATGTCGACTTCTTCCATGTCTTTAGTGAGTTCATTTGAAGGCCCCTTGGAGGCAAGAGTGTACAGTTAGTTTTAGGGTTTGTCTTCTCCTGCAGAGAAGTGCTTTAATCAAGAAGGAGACCATAAGGGTAAAGATAAAACCGCAGCTGCATATGTGTTTATCCCAATATTCAAACATGCCTTTCAGCTGCTGCCTACTTTTAGGAGTGTCTGAAGTCCCAGAGATGCCTGTATTTCCACCACAGTATTTCTAGACGTATTTTTGAGATCCCTGAACAAGTATCACTCTGTATTACTAAGCAACCCAACATCCATCTCCTACAAGACATCCACCTCTTCATGTCTGTGCAGTAACTTAATGGCTGGGGAACTCAGCATCAAGGTGGGAAACCTCTTTTTTCTCTGTCAGGATTTGGACCCTCGATGACCACTGGACTATAACCATACTATTTAATTTCTCACGCTGAAGCAGAGCACTTTGAAAAATTCACTCTCTCTCACACACCCCACCACCCCCAGAACATTGTGGGACTGATGTTTGGTGCTGTCTTCTGGGAAGGGAGGAAGAAGGGTTAATGGAGGACTAATCTTGGAAAGATCCAAGATAACTGGGCTTATTTAAGGTAGATCAGGCTTTACCTCTTGAGGTGCTTTAGCTGCACACTTTTGTGATGAGCTGTAGTGAGACACTGCGTATTCCACAAGGACACCAAAGATGAAGCTGAAGCAGATGCCAAGGTAAATATCAACGGCCTTAATTAAACAGTTGGGTTTTGAAAGTGAACTTCGTGACCCAATCATCAGAGTTGTCATGGAAAGCACTGTTGTTACTCCTTGGAAAGCAGAAAAGGAAAGATCTTTTGGGGTCACTTTGGAAAAGGCTTGGCCTATCCTTCTGCAAATGTTATCACTCTTTATTGATAGCCAGATAGAGCGCATCGCTTCTTACCAAATCCAAATCATCTATCAGCTTAAATGCTTTTGTAGTGCTAGCTACTAGCTCCACTCAGCCTCTCCCTGCCTTTAACACCTTGGCTCCAATGTGCACCTGGCTCTTATTTTTCTTGCTTTCAGCAAAAAAATCCTCCCCTCCCTGCCCAAAGCACATCCCAGACAACATGTGCACTGTTCTCTGCTTTCTGCTGTGCATCTGCTGGGAACCTTGGCTATACCCAGCTCTGCAGGTGGGCAAGTATGCTGGCCACAGCACATCCTCCATACTGCTAACCCAGCTCTGCCACAAGTAAAAGCAGACAGTGAGCAGACCATTTATCGCTAAGAGAGCTCAAGAAAACAACCATCTACCCAGCCCTCAGAGGCTCCCCTGCCCTTCCTCGGATAGTAACTCACCAATGCAAGTTCTTGCAGGTACTGAATCCAATGTAATCCAAAAAGAAACCCAGAACAACATGACGAGCAGAGTGGAGGGCACATGGGTTTCCAAAATAAAGGACATTTCTTCTCAGCTCAAACTGCAGTATCAGTCGTGGGTAACTGCCTGTTCATGAAAGGAAGAAACTCTGTGAACATGAGGTACCAAGGACACTTGGGCTGATGCTATGACAGCCCAGCATCAGCCTTCAGCTGATGTACATCAGCAGAGCTGTACTGAAATCACGGGCGATGCACTTCTTTCTTACACAGCTTAACTTCTTGCCTCAGAGGTCTTACTTATCTAACATACCCTAGACAAGGGGACACATGCACACAGCATTGTTTGACAAGAGACATCTAAAACAATGTGTGGCTTGCAAAGGGGCTCCTGAACTTAATCCACAGTGGAAACATTTTATACCAGTGTCTTAAATCAGAGGAGAGAATGGACGATGGTTTCATCTGCTCTCTCAGGACAACACTTCTTCCCCACTAAGCACTGTGAAGGGGCATTGCCAAGTTCAGTCTTATCTGGTGGCTGAGAAATAACAAAAGATTTTATCTCCATTCCAGCAGGCTCTGGCTCACATCCAATGGCATCCAATACCTTATCATCACAGGGAGTTAGACCACTGCATGCATTATTTGTTATCTTTGATAACCATGTCTTTTTTGTGCTCAAAAAAAATCAGTTTATTTTTTAAACTCTGTTTTTCAGCTGGATTACTAGTATTTTCAGGAGATATTTCTACTGTTGAAACAATAGTTCCATTTGAAATGCAGAAACAAAGCCTGTGTTTTCTGTTGGCTGTGTACACTACAGTAAACAACAAAACACTTATGTTTAGAACCTGGTCATTCTGAGGAAGTCTTGCTCCCATTCATAGTGACTGTGATTGGAGAGTATTTACACTGATGAAAAAGACATTGAATTCTGATGTACAAAGGGATCTTATTCCATCATGACAGAATTGTAATTTACAAGCAAAAGTGTATTTTTAAAAGTTAATTTTACTCCCAGTTACTGTGAACATGGATCTCTGCAGAGGGGACAGTTTTTTGGGTGGATAAGGAAAGAAGTAGAGATAAAAGAAGATAATTACAAATCTATCAAGTGAATCTAGTGTATAAAATCCCGATCTTTCCATGGATTTCCATGATTGCAACTAATTTTCCTAATTTTCCTGATTGCAACTAATTGGATTTCAGCATGTTTCTGCTCATCTCTTTTTGTGAGATTAAGATTTGGTAAAGACTTCACACATTCACGCCCAGAGAAGGGAAAGGAGCTGGAAGGGGAAATACCTGAGAGCTTTTCTTGCTTTTCTCTTTCACTGATATACCTGTTTCCTGCTGTGTCTTTGAGACGACGGTGTAGTAACGTTCCACCGTGTACCGAGAGAGACGCAGCTCTTCTATGCCATGGACAGAGTTGTTTCCTCTCAGCCACTTGAAGATGATATCGTTTTCATCATATCCCCCTAAGGAGAACATAAAAACCCATATTACTGTGGTTTAGCCAGGGAAGGCCCAGCTACTGCCCTGCCCTGTCCCCTGAGTGAGAACAGAAACACAATCCAGGCTGGACAAAGACGGTTAGATGTGTCGGACCATGGCTGGAGGTTGGCCGTTATTTCATTGCTGTACCCTCAATCTGCTGGTTCAGATTTCAACAGGAACACACGCCACTGGGAATGATGCATAACATGCAAGGCAGCAGAGAACCTATTTCAATTGTTTACATGGGGTATTTGTATTTTAAAGTATTTTAACATTTTAAAAGATAACATGTTTTTGTCATCCACAGTTTGATTACATGCAGCAAGATAAAACTACTGCAGTGATAACCTCTCGAATAAAGTCTCTTCATTCAGGAGAGGACGAGAGACCCAGACACATTTCACTGAATTGTCTGTTCAAGTGCTTAAAAATACCAGAAGAGGCAAGCTCAGGTAGCCCAGAGCTTGGAGCTGAGGCTGCTGTATGCATTGTCCACAAAATATTTTCATAAAGGCAGCTTTTTCTGCAAGTCATTCCTCCTATCCCCAAAAGCTGTAAGTTACAGAGGGCAAATAAATGCATCTGACATTTAGGTAACACAGAATTCCTGCCTCAAAATGGAGGGACACATGAAATCAACAATTCAAGCAGTAAACTCCATATATGCCAGCTAAATGATTGCCTCCAGGAATGTATGTGATGCCATTACATGACCTCAGGATGGACTGAGGGATAAAGCTCATATGGAGTCACCAGCCTGCCATTCGCTTCAAAAACATCACTTCATTCAGGATCTCACCAATTGGATTTTTTTATTAAGTGCTCTTCGAGAAGATGAGCAGGGACAGTTGGATTCTTTTAATAGTAAACTCTTTGTCCTGGTAGAAGGAGTAAGATGCAGTTGCAGCTCTGTTTTTATCTAACTGTGTTTTCTTATTAGATAAAATTACCAGAGCTTGAGTGTGATGAACTCCTAATTAGGTGTCCAGGGTATGAATCCCTGTGTAGAATCCTCAGCATGTGACTTTGAAAAGTTTCTAAGCAGTTTTATGCATTGTGGTTACTAGGCAAAATTTTATAATAAATGATAGGTTGTTGTTAATTCATCTGGTGTGTATTTAAATAGCATTATTTTTGTGCACTTACCCTAATGAAATCTCCAGTGGGCAATGTGCATGTAATTTCATTGGCATTATACGGCAACTGAGGATGATATAGGACCCAATCACTTTTCAAACAGGCCCAAACGTGTGATGCTTTAGCAGACTAGGCCAATCATTATTATTTCAGGAGCTATTCTTCGTAATAAAGGTAACTGTGGTGAACAGGATTTTAATGTGAAAGTAATATATGCTTCTCTAGATGCTTCATGCTGTAACCCCAGAAGTTAAAATCTGGCCTTTTCGCTATTGAGATTTTAGATTTTTTTTTTGTGACATGAAGTGGGAGATGGTTGCTTGCTTGTTCTGGAGCTGTATAGATACAGAACAGCAGCACTACTCTTGCTGAGCTCCTGGCTACAGGCCCTGCAGTTTCCTAGGTTGTTCTGGAGTCCTTCCCAACAAGCTTTCCCATGAATGAACTTTAAATTTAAGTGAGAGCAGAACTCACTAATCCTTTTTTTTTAACACTTCCGAGGCTGAAACTCCTGTTGACAAGGGTCCCATGACCTGCATTGTTGCAGCAGACAGTCTTCAGGGAGAAGCACACACCATGAAGTTGGGTTTGCCTTAGTTTCTGTTCATGAGTTGGAGAGTCTGTTCAACCATGTTCTGGTAAAAGCCACCCTTCACACTGTGTTGTTGCAGAGGAGGTCTGGGAGGTGCAAAGATGGTTCCCTGTTGTACTCTGTCCCGTGTACTTACCTCACCAACTAGTTTTGAAGAAGCTGTTTGTGCAAAAGGGACCAAATTTGGAAAATGAGCTGTTGTTACTTCATCCTTTCTGTTGAACAAAATCCAACTATCTACACTTCAATATCTTTTTATATAAATTGCAGTGACAGGAATCCTCTAAACTCTGGATTACAACACAGATGAAAAATGATGAAGCAAAGCTGTTTTCTTTTGGACGTTACTATTTGCAGGAATAAGAGTCTACTCCAGAAAGCCTGGGATCAATCCATATACTCAAGTTGCATACTTACATACGAATAAATGAATTTAAAGTCAGAATTTTCTAGAATGTTTTACTTACAGCTTTCTAGCTGCAGTCTGCACATCTGTGTGTCCATGGGCTATTTTGACAGGTCCATGTTACAAGCAACAGTTGTAATGATCCTGTAGGAAAAGAAGGAACTCCAAAAGTTGCAATAAAACCATGTAATGAAACAGCTCTTTTTTTTATAGTGATCTAGACCACAAAGGCTCTGCTCTGATTTTAAATGCCCTGTCATTTAGGTAATTTTGACCTATGTAATGAGTGGATTGATATAGTCAGGGAGAACTCTCCATAAAATGATTTGTTCTCTGCAGCCCGCTGGTGAAAATGTAACTAAAAGACACATTTTGCTTTGCTGTAGTGGGAGATTTAGGGTAGATTCACATGTTTTCCAGTGCTACAGTTTGCATATCTTAGTAAGTCACCACTTGTCACCTGAGGCACAGTAAATGACTGCACACATACTCTGGCTTCCTCGGATGTGGAGGGTAAATGAGTTTTACTTTGCAGTTAAGGTAACTGGGACACAGTTACCATGAGCTGAGAAGAGATAACACTGCATGATTTCCTAACACAATTACAGAACACAGCTCTGCAATACATGCACAAATATGCTTTCTGCTAAAAAGCAGAAATCATGGCTACGTGCACTGGGTAAACAGTTTCCCACTGCATTTTAAACTTTCACTGTTATGATGATCTCTCTCCACTCCTGTCCTGCCTCCATCTGACTTGACCAGACTTCTTTTGGGTAACATCTCAACATGTGAGATTCCTGAGCAGACACCGTGCTCAGGACACAGCACACACCATGGTAGTGTGTCCTCAACATAAAAAGGACATGGAGCTGTTGGAGCAAGTCCAGAGGAGGGCCACAAGGACAATAAGAGGACTGGAGCACCTCCCGTATGAAGACAGGCTGAGAAAGTTGGTGCTGTTCAGCCTGGAGAAGAGAAGGCTGTGTGGAGACCTCACAGCAGCCTTCCAGTATCTGAAGGGGGTCTACAAGGATGCTGGGGAGGGACTCTTCATTATGGACTCTAGTGGTAGGACAAGGGGTAATGGGTTTAAACTTAAACAGGGGAACTTTAGGTTAGATATAAGGAAGTTCTTCACAGTGAGGGTGGTGAGGCACTGGAATAGGCTGCCCAAGGAAGTTGTGAATGCTCCAACCCTGGCGGTGTTCAAGGCCAGATTGGACAGAGCCTTAGGCAACATAGTTTAGTGTGTGGTGTCCCTGCTCATGGCAGGGGGGTTGGAACTAGATGATCTTAAGGTCCTTTCCAACCCTAACTATTCTATGATTCTATGGAATCCTGAGCCTTGACTGACATTTCTAGGTGACCTGAAGAAGGGGTAACAGATCAGAAGGGTATCGTCACAGTTGGCTTGGGGATCCCGAGCTCATTACCTGGGACAAGCATCCAACGTGAAGCTCTTGTTGCTGTGAAAGACCAAGTGGGGGTCTGTCCGGCGCTGCTGCAGATAGATAGAAGCTGTGTAATCCTGGGATTAGAGAGAGAGGAAAACCTGTAAGGATGCATGTCCAGCACACTGCATGGCAACTCTGTGTGTGACAAGCAGCAGAGCACAAATTTAACTTATCCAAGCTCAGCTTCAAATGCATGCAGTATATCTGATTGATGGATACTTACAGTCTAAGGTGTAGTGTTTGAAGACTAAAGATTATACTTGGTAGCACTTTTTTTAATGAGCTGTTATCATAACTGATATTTTAGTGTCTATTTTGCAGGTAACAAAATAGATGGGAAGTGCACACATTCAGCAAGTCATTGACATTAAAAACTAGCTGTCTAGAGGTGGAAGATTACACACATACTATAAACGTGATCATGAAAGACATCAGCACTTTGGAGGCCAAAAGGTAAGCAAATCTAATTGTTATTTCACTGAGGTCTTAACAAATCCAAACAAATAAAACCCCCAAAATTTGTATTATCTTTTTTAATTGGAATTTTGTATCTAAGGGCACTAAGATTAACCTGAGTTCAGCCTGCCAAAACCTATCTGCAGTGGCTGGAGCATTTTTACAGTGCCCCATCATAAAAGAATAACCAGTACTTGGCTCTAAAGAGAATTCCTTACTGAGCTGCTGGACAGACCCAGGGCACTGGGGCCCTATTTCACTTGCTTCCTTGTAGACAAAATGAATGCAGCCAGTAATGCCTTTGTTTTTCCAAACATCGTGTCACAGGCAGACTGATAGTGGTGATGGTGTTAACAGTGTGAAGTCACTATGTTTTGCCACAGATAATGCTGCCAGTCTGTGGAGGATGAAGCAGTTCTGTTTAATTTGATCTTTAATTTGTAAAATGCTTTAAGAGAAAAGGTCTAAGTAAATATCTAGTATCAGCTTCAGCTCTTGCAAATTTTAAAACTTTACTGCCTGTGACAGAGGAAAAAAACATATCAAATAATGCACTGGTGTGGCCGCCAGTACTGTGAATTCTAATAGTGACTCGAGTGAAGAATCTTGGTTGATTTTCCAGCATTTACTGAGGCAGAAAATAAGCCTCTGTAGTGTTTTCCATGTGGCCAGAGCAATTTAGATGGATTATGGAGAAGAAACACTCCAGAACAGGAGCTATTTTACAAAGGCCCTTTACTTATGTGAATAATTGATGCTGTTGGTTCTCCTCCATCCCCAAAATGAACAGCTTTCTTAACGTTACAATATTTTACTTGGTGAATTTGTTTAATTTTTTGGGGAGAGGTTAAAAAAAGCCAGTAGTGTTCATGAAAATGCCGACATTAAGTGTTGACATTGTTCCTGACTGAACTTTTATGTGAAACTTTTTGCTGCATTTACCCAAGTTGCCCATAGTTTTTGTGAACCTGAAACAGGAATTTTCAGCAAATGGTGTTTGGAATCCAGCTGTTTTTTACCAGAAATGGAGGGAACCACACTCAGCAGTGGTGGCAAAATGTTTTCTGTATATTGGAAACGATATTTTTTTAACTTGGGATCACCAGACCTTTGAACTCAGCCTGTGTCACAGCTCAAAACCTCATTTCTCCTCCCTGAGAAGAAACCCTGTCTTCAGTCAGCACCAGCACATCCAACAGAGGCCTACCCTGCACAGAGGTGTCCTACACAAAGGAAAGGTAAAGGAAAAGAAATGTCACACAGGAGTGACTTTTTCAGCTTCCAAGGGGCCTGGTTTCCAGGAGGTGCTGACTTTTTGACCAGTAGGACCTTTGGAGCCATCTCATTTTACTAAGAAGCCCACATTACTTTGTTATTTTCAGAATCTGCAGTAATAAAGGAGCCCTGTCCTCATCACACCTCTGAAAGTGGTCAACAGACACAGCAAAGCAAAGCAGCTTAAAAATAACAGTTTCTGGGCTGAATACACAAGAATAGATGACAAGTCTCTTGGGCAGATGCTACTCTTATCTCTTACAGAGTAAGATTTCTTTCACTTACCATGTCACTCTCAGATATACTAGAAATACTTGCAATGTCCAGACTCAGTGCAATTTGAACAGGTTCTCCTATGGAGGGAAAGAAAGAAAAAGCAGAGAGAAGAGTGCAGGCACAATGAAACCACCCAGGGATTTGTGCTGCATGGCACCCCTCCAGTGTCACATGCTATCCCTAACACTGCAGCAGCCCTTAAAGGCTCAGATCCAGAGCACTGGACTCACAAAGACATTGTGATCCAAAATGAAGTTGTCACTGTTGTGGAGCTGGAGTTGTGTGTCTGGTGATGGTAGCAGAGAACAAATACCCACCAGCACCAGCTGTGAAGAGCAGCTGATGAGTGACCTTTCAGTGGCAATAGCTGCCGGCCAGTCAGCCAGGGCCAGCCTGTCCCTTGTCACCCAGCCACAAACACCCACCCAGCGGCAAGAATGGTAAAATCTGTGCCGCTTGTCACACAGGGCTCTGGAAGACCCCCCACAACCACACAGTGATCACACCACTGTTTCTCAGTAAGGAAACATAAAGAGGCAGAGAAATTCAGTGATTCCTGAGGCCATGAATTGGGTTAAAATCCAGAAATGCAACATGCCTTGCCTCTTCTTCGTTACTGTATGAACTGTTCTATTTACAAGCAAATTTTCAGCGCTCAACCCGAACCTCTGTAGTCTCCTCTTCCACCGCCAACTGGTAAAACCCACCACAGGAGGGCAGCTCCCGCCCAGGAAATGCCGGCGCTGGGGCGAGCACTCCAGGTCCTGCCTTGGAGCAACCGGGTTCTGCACAGCAGCTGGCTGTTATATCAGCAGGACAGACTTTCACTTATGCTGTGCCTGGTTTGTCTAATCCCCTGTATGAAGCCGGTTGGTTTTTCTTTTTTTTTGTTTGTTTTTAATTTGTTTTAAATTATTCAAAAATCTAAAATGTAATTTCATTTACAGATGAGTGTATTTTTTAAAGTACTTGTCATTGATGTGTTTCACCTTAGAGAATCCCAACCTGGTTGGTCTTGAAGCGACCTTAAAGCTCATCCAGTTCCAACCCCCTGCCATGGGCAGGGGCACCTTCCTCTAGAGCAGGCTGCTCAAAGCCCCATCCAACCTGGCCTTGTTTTTAGATATTCTGACACTTGAAGCCTGCCCAAATTAATGACCAGGGTAGATCTATGAGGACTCAGGGTCTCTGGAAGAGGTCAGACCAAAGTCCTGAACACTGTTGTTTAGAATTTATAGCACTGGTAGGTGTATGTAGGCTGGCGTAGATGCATTTAACCTCTGTTATAGAATTCGGAAGCATCTATATACTGATGTGACAGGACCCGGAGAAGCTTTTCTATCCTGCGTGTGATCAGACATTCTAGGCAAAACAAGATGATAAATTCTATACTGTTCCAGTATCACCACACTCAGAAAAAGGAAGAAGCTCAAAGCTGCCAGTAGCAGAAGTCTACAATCTGCCAGTCTGCAGGAACTACAGTGGGAAACATCCAAGTCCTGGTGAAAGCACATGAGGAATTTTTCTATTGAGTAGAATTTCATTAGTGGGTTCTGGCAGAAAAGTAAAATTAAGAAAAGTAAAAAAATCATAACTTTTTAAAAAAATATAATTAGTACTTCTCAGGTGCTGAACATCATTCTGAGAAACTCTTCCCTCCATTACAGCATTTGCCTGGAAAGTGGGAGACCTGATATCCAAAACGGAATAGCCTCAGGTAAGTTCCTATATATCTGACTGTCCTTCAGGTGCTCCCTACAGTTCCATGAGGGTTTAAAGCAGGTTTGCTTTGTGTTTCAGTGTAAAGTGAAATCATGAGTCAAAAGTCAATATTTCTGGCAAGGAGGATTGATTTACTCCTTTATAGCCACAATCCACTAAATACATACATTCACTAATTATATCCACTAGATACACATGAACCAAAATAAAGCACGAAATCACAAGGATCAGACTCTAAACAAAAGCATACACAGTGAACTGAATTTAGGTACTCTGTCAGGTCTTTCACAGAAGTATTAAAGCTTATAAATTCCCTGTTCTTAACCTCATAGATGGGCACATTCTCATGTCCCACACATGCATGCACAATCTATTCAGCACAACAGTGGATGCACAGGGAGGAGGGCAACCCTGGCTACTGGCTGACGTTAAAAAAAATGACCTTTAAAACTGGGGCATCCTAAAGAAAGCTCTCCTGCCCACGAAAGCCTTACAGACTGTTCTTCAAATGGTCAAATGCACAGAGCCAACATACCACTGAAGGTGGTACCAGAGATACTTGTTGTATCCCTTGGTGAGGTTCTCACATCCAGGGAGGGATGCTGTGTGGCTGCCACACAAGTGGAACATGCGTCCCAGGGAGCACCTCCTGGCGGCACAAACACAGGGTTGCATGTGGCTGGGCATGCCAGGCACATGTGGTGTGCAGCTGCAGCTGTGATACCAGCTTGTGCTCCAACAGGCAAAAAACCCTGCATAAAATGTTTATTAAAACTAAGTAGATCATCACAAGCACATGCTCTCATTGCTTGTCTTGGCTGAATAAACTGGCATTCCAGAGAGGTGGAAAATTGCAAATTTCCTCAGCTGATAGCTGCAGGTTTGCACACATGGTAGCTTAAGGATGTTCTTAAAATGCCACAGACAAATCAAGCAAGGTCTATGTATAACAGGTCTTAACAATAATCTACAAGCTCTCCCTCCCCTCATACAAACTATATAAGGATCATGCATTCCTTTTTCCTGCTTGCTTATGGCAACCTGAGACAAAGCTTACTGACCAACAGCTTCTCCCCCTCATCACTAGTCCCCTAAAGAAGCCTTCATCCTCATGTTCATGTCTGGCAGCATCCCTACAGCTGTTCTCAGAAGTACACCAGAAGGGGAAAGATAGAGCACAGAACAATTCACAGACACCAGCAAAGCTTTGTGGGTTGAATGGCTGAACCACCCCTAGCTGCTGTGCATACAGGGGGTTCAGCTCTCATTTACACTGTCAAAATTCACGTTTTATGGATGGGCAATGGTGCTAGTACTTAGCATTAGGAGGCTGATGGAGCCACACAATCATACAAGAAGCTGAAGTGATGGTGGGACTGCAAAAGGTAAGTTCTCTGATGCAGTGTCCTGTGTAGGCATGTGTTCACTTGGTGAAAATGAGCGAATGAGTTTGCTACTGCTTTGTGAAGGGCTGAAGGAGGAAGAAGGCACTGCCTCTGCCTCTTCCCAGCACCTCGGGACCATGCAGCTGTGAGTAAGAACTTAGCTGTGTAGTTATTATTCAAAGCTTTGATGATTTGTGTCTTCTGTTCCATTTCAAGTTTGGTCATTAGTCCTGGGAGTTCTGCTGTGGGTTTTAGACCAAAAAGGACCTTACAGCAGAACTGAACCAGTTTGTGCACAGTAAAAACATAAACCACTCCAGAAATTTAGGACTTACAGTTCCAGGGATGACAGTAACACAGCTGGGATCCCTATGGGATGCACTTCTAACCCAAACTGCAAACGACTCTGGTCCTGAACAGGAAACAAGGGTTGCACTGTTAATTTGCGTGTTGAGTTTTGGGGAACTAGGCAAGTTGCTCTCTTCTACACCACATCCATTACAGCACTCAGGTTTCTTCGGATGGTCTGGATAATTAGAATCATAGTTTGCTTTTGACCCACATTATTTATATGAAACATAATTCAGATGTTCCCTGTAAAACAAAAAAATACTCTTCTTACCTTTGGGTTGGAAGGAAAAGACACAGACTGAAGAAGCAAAAATATCTGCAGAACATCTCTGAAGATTATTTCTGTGTTTGCTGGGCCTGTCTGTGAACCTGAAAAGAAAGGCAAAGTTTTGTGATGTAAGGAAAACTATTTTAAGGGAAGGGGACAGGGAAAAGAAACCCTGCAGTGCCAGCACCACATGCTGTGCAATTTTTGATATTCCTGACACACAGTGGTTCCTGCCCTCTTTTCTAGCTTGTGTCACTGCTGCCTTAATATTTTCCACATGAAAGACACTAGTGACAACTCCAGGCCTGAAGCCCCTGACAAGGTCACCATATTTTAGGCTGCCATTTTGTAGCAGCTTCTCTCCTTTCCGCACAGGATGGTACTGAGCTTACATTAGGAATGGGAAGGGACTTGTTAAAGAGAAAATGGTTCAGATAGCTCCCAGAGGCCATTAGACTATAAAGCCAAGTGAGATCCTGCCCATGTATGACAGATCCAGCATCTCTTAGTCCAGGACTCCACTAATCTGCACATAAATGCTAAAGATCTGTGCCCCATTAGCCTGCAGCTGGGATAAACCATGCTATCGACAGTAACATTGGCAAGGCACTCGGCATGTAGAACAGGATGGAATCATTCCACTTTAAACGGGTTTCGTTGACTTTTCTGGGAGTGGAACCAAATCTTGGCTTCTGGCCCAAGACACCAGAGGTTTGTGCTGGCCCTGGAGCAGGCACCATGGCAGCGACTCTTTACTGTGCACTACTCTTCAGTGCTGCTCCCTGCCTGGAATGCTGCATCAGATGCACCCCTTTTCCTGAGCATCCAGAAAGTCTTCTGCCACACTCCCTGTGTGTGTTGCCACTGCCACAGCTGCCAAGGGGAGATGGTTACTCAGCCATCATTAGTTTGAGCTGCAAACACAGTACTGCCTGACCTGCCCTGCTATACTGCTGGAAGTGTACCCGGTGTGTCAGAGTTTTACTGCAAATACAGGCAAGGCAACATCATCCTTGGATGGATAGGAGTCTTCTTGTTTTATACTGTTACAAATTGGGAACGAGTATGCAAATCTCTAGTCCCTGTAACTTTGCACCTTTCCCATCACACAGGGGGTAGGACCTCAACTTCAAACCTGGGTGTTCCACACTAACCCAAAAAGCAGGAAT